GTCACTTGGGTGGGATTTACAAAACCATGCCAAGAAAAGCCACAGAAAAGTCATCCAGTTACCAATCCCTTGTAAGATTGTGGACCAGCCGATCATTTTTGGCAGAATTATAAACCTAAGGCCAGAAAGGCCATACATAAGAGAAACCCATTGCACTTCAAAGTGTCTCTGGTTTTTGTGGAATGTCACAGTGTCTCTCAAGGTAGTGTGGCAGCATTGATCAAATGTACTAGTGATCATCCCCTTTGAGACACCAGTCACAGGGTATGTGAATAAAAATCGACCTAAGGCTGATTCCCAAAATGTGAAGATAACTCACATCCCTACTGTCCCACTTCTTAATCATTTCTGACACCAGCCACTCGTGGTATTTTCTCTTCCCTAACCACCTAAAGTTAGGTCACACCTTACAAGGAAAACGACACTGCCCTACTGATCATTGTCTGCGCAACCTTTCTATGACCTATGTCAGTAGGCACAAGTCATCGACAGTTCCCTGTCAGTGTACACCTGCATCTGATTTTGAATTATCCTCTGCAAAATTTTGTTAGCGTGTGATATTAATGATCTTTGATAATTTCGCACTTCCATTTGCTCGCCCTGCTTTGGAAGGAGCACAAATTAGTTGGCTGACCAGGAACTGTTATCCAAATTTCTTCACATAGCCAGTAAGTGTATCCACCATTCCACTGACTTGTTGAAGCATCTCAATTGGTATTTCATCAATTCCTGGAGCCTTGTTTTTTCACTAGTGCCTTCAGTGCAGCTTGAAGTTTTTCCTTCGGCAACAGCACTTCTTGATCGTATGCTATCTCCTGAACTGTTTGACTTTTCAATAATCCTTTTGCTATACCAACTCTTTATTGCTTCCATCTTTTTTGGATGCTTTCTGCATCAATTTTTTGCCCATAGAATTCTCCAGTAATGCAACTCAAAGCATGAATTTTCTCTTCAGTTCTTTCAGTTTCAGAGTTGCCAATCATGTTCTTCTGGTTTTCTAATTCAAGGTCCTTTGCATGTGTCATTATTATGTTTTACCTTGTTTTCTTGAGCGTCCTCCTGAAATAATTTGTTTTGCTGTTTTCATCTTTTCTGTGTTCACTGTCATTACTCTGTGCTTACAAGCAAGTTTCAGAGTCTCCTCTAGCATACGTTTTGGTCTTTTTTTCCTGTATTTTCAGTAACCTTTTACATTCTTCATATTCGATGTCATCCCGCAACTCTTTGATCATTGATCATTAGTGTTCACTGTATCAAATCTGTTCTTGAGATGATCTCTAAAGTCATGTGTGATGTATTCAAAGTCGTGCTTTGGCTCTCGTGCAGTTGCTCTGATTTTCTTTGGCTTCAACTTGAATTTATGGTCTGTTCCACAATTGGTGTCTGACTTGTTTCTGACTGATAATATTGAGCTTCTTTCATCATGTCTTTCCACAGATGCACTTGATTTGATTCTTGTGTAATACATCTGGTGAGGTCCACGTGTATAGGCAATTGATTTTATTGTTGGAAAAAAAGCGTTTCTAATGAACAAGTTGTTCTCATGGACATCTGTCATACTACCTTCGGCATCCTTCCTGTCACCAACCCGTATTTTCCAACTAGTATTTCTTCTTCTTTGTTTCCAACTTTTGCATTCCAATCCCCAGAAATTATCCACACGTCTTGATTGTATGCTGGTTAAATTTCAGACTGCAGCACTTGGTATACATCTTCAATTTATTCATCTTTGTACTAGTTGATGAGTAAATTTGAGTAATAGCCTTATTAACTCCTCTTCACTGGAGGCATATGGATATTAACCTATCACTGACAGCGTTGTACTTTAGGAGAGACATTAAAATGTTCTTTTTGATGATTAGTGCAACACCATTTGTCTTCAATTATTTGTTCTGGCATATTAGGCCATAAGATTGTCAGAATCAGAATGGCCAATACCAGTCCATTTCCACTTGTTAATGCCTAGGATATTTATCTTCAAACGTTCCATTTCATTTTTGACAACTGTCTTAGGCTGGGTTCTCTAGAGAAGCAAAACCAGTAAAGTATATAAATATATATATAGAGAGAGAGATTATATCAAGGAAACGGCTCATGCGATTGTAGAGGCTAGAATGTCCCAAGTCCGTGGATCAGGGTAGAGGCCTCTCCCAAGTCACTCAGCTGCAGAAGCTGGCAAGCCCAAAATCAGAAGGTCGGAGAGCAGGGCTCCCACTCACAGGCTGTGCAGATCGATGAATCCCAGGTTCGACGGATAAGCTGACAGCTCAAGTCCCAAGAATGGGAGATGAGATGACAGGAAGCAGCCGCAGGATCCAGAGAGAGCAAATAGCCAGAACATCTGCTTATATACAGGTACGGGCCACACCCCCAAGGAGACTCCCTTTCATCTGATTGGCTACTCAACAGTATATTCAATCGTGGGAGTGATTACATTAACACACAGAGAATCATGACCCAGCAAAGTTGACACACAATCTTAACCATCACAACAACTTTCAGTGTTTCTTGATTCATACTTCATTCTTTCGACATTCCAATTAGTAATAGATGTTTGCAGCTGTTACTTTTCATCTTGAGTTGTGCAGCACAAGTAAGTGAAGGTCCCGAAGTCTCTACCCTGTCTGCATCATTAAGGTCAACTATGGTTTAAGGATGCAACTCTTAACTAATCATAGTTTCAGTGCTTTCTAACCTGAAGGGATCATCTTCCAGCACTAATTCTGACAATATTCTGTTGTTATCCATAATACTTTTGTCAGCTGGTTTTTAGAAATAGATCACCAGGCCCTCCTTCCTAGTTTGTCTTAGTCTCGAAGTAACGCTGAATATTGTCCACCTTGGGTGACCCTACTAGTATTTGAAATACAGATAGCATAGTTTTCTGCATCACGTTATTGTTGTTAAGTGCCATCAAGTCAGTTCTGACTCATAGCAACCCTATGCACAATGGAACAAAACACTGCCCGGTCCTGTGCCATTCTCACAATCCTTGTTATGTTTAAGCCCATTGTTGCAGCCACTGTGTCAGTCCACCTCATTCAGGCTCTTCCTCTTTTTCACTGACCCTCTACTTTAGCAAGCATGATGTCTTTCTCTAGGGACTGATCCCTGCTGATGACATGTTCAAAGTACGTGAGACGTAGTCTCGCCATCCCTGCTCCTAAGAAGCATTCTGATTATACTTCTTCCGAGACAGACTTGTTCATTCTTTTGGCAGTCAGGGGTATATTCAGTATTCTTCGCCAACACAGTCATTCAAAGGCGTCAATTCTTCTTCAGTCTTTCTTATTCATCATCCAGCTTTCATATTCAGATGAGACGATTGAAAACACCATGACTTGGGTCAGGCACACCTTAGTCTTCAAGGTGACATCTTTGCTTGTCAACACTTTGTAAAGAGGTCTTTTGCAGCAGATTTGCCCAGTGCAGTGCGTCTTTTGATTTCTTGACTGCTGCTTCCATGAGTATTGATTGTGGATCCAAGTAAAATGAAGTTCTTGACAACGTCAGTCTTTTCCCTGTTTATCATGATGTTGCTTATTGGTCCAGTTGTGAGGATTTTTGTTTTCTTCATGTTGAGATGTAAGTCATACTGAAGGCTGTGGTCTTTGATCTTCATCAGTAAGCGCTTCAAGTCCTCTCCACTTTCAGCAAGCAAGGTTGTGTCATCTGCATAACACAGGTTGTTAGTAAATTTTTCCTCCGGTCCTGATGCTGCATTCTTCTTCATATTCATAATCTTCTCAGATTATTTGCTCAGCGTACAGATTGAATAGGTATGGTGAAAGGATACAACTCTGATGCACACCTTTCCTGACTAAACCACGCAGTATCCCCTTGTCTGTTCAAATGACTGCCTCTTGATCTATGTATAGTTTCCTCATGAGCACAATTAAGTGTTCTGGAATTCCTGTTCTTCACAATGTTATCCATAATTTGTTAGGATCCACACAGTCAAATGCCTTTGCATAGTTAATAAAACACAGATAAACATCTTTCTGGTATTGTCTGCTTTCAGTCAGGATCCATCTGACATCAGCAATGATATCCCTCATTCTACGTCCTCTTCTGAATCCAGCTTGAATTTCTGGCAGTTCCCTGTGGGTATACTGCTGCAGCCACTTTTGAATGATCTTTAGCAAAGTTTTAACTTGCGTGTGACATCAGTGATATTTGTTTGATAATTTCCACATTTGGTTGGATCACCTTTCTTGGGAATAGGCGTAAATATGTATCTCTTCTAGTTTGTTGGCCGGGTAGCTGTCTTCCAAATTTCTTGGCATAGTGAGCACTTCCAGGGCTACGTCCGTTTGTTGAAACATCTCGATTGCTATTCTGTCAATTCCTGGAGCCTTGTTTTTCACCAATGCCTTCAGTGCAGCTTGGACTTCTTCCTTCAGTACTATCGCTTCCTGATCATACGGTACCTCCTGAAATGGTTGAATGTCGACCAATTCTTTTTGGTATAGTGACTCTGTATTTCTTCCATCTCCTTTTAATGCTTTCTGCATCATTTAATATTTTCCCCATAGAATTCTTCTGTATTGCAATTTGAGGCTTAAATTTTTTCTTAAGTTCTTTCAGCTTGAGAAATGCCAAGCATGTTCTTCCCTTTTGGTTTTCTATTTCCAAGTCTTTGTACATGTCATTATAATACTTTACTTTGTCTTCTCTTGCCACCTTTGAAATCTTCAGTCCACCACAGAATGCCACCACCTGTCTGTTTCTCTTAGGTCTTACATTTGTAGCATGAGTGGTATGTCACGTGTATTGAAATCTCAACTTCCTTGAAAATGATACGAATTACATGTAATCATCATTTCTTTATTGAGGAATCCTGTTAATTTTGCATTCCTAAACATTTGAAAACCATAGTGAAGAAGTTTTAACATTCTCTTTTATTATAAGTATTTGTGCTGTGTAAAATTATGTTTTGGGATGTAAAATACTTTCCAACTGTTGTTAATAGAAAACTTATGATTCTTTATATTTTTTAGATGTCTTTTCTACGTGTATGATCAAGGAATTATCAGCAAAAGAGATCATTGATAAAGGAGAACTATTCCAGAGAGTGATTTTGAAAAGAAATGAAAGTCATGGCATCGAGGATTTCCACTTCAGGCAAGTCAGGGAAAATGTGCATGAGTTTCAGAGTCAGTGGGGAAAAGATGAAAGAAATAACAAAGGAGTGACTACGGCCCATAACAAAATTTTAACTGGTAGAAGAGATCAACATGTTAACACAGATGCAGGAAACAAGTATGTGACATGTAAAAATACGACTGAATTAAGCTTTCAGTCCCATGTGGCTGAAATGCAGAAATTTCACATTGGAGAGAAAATGTATGAATGTCATCAAGTGGAGACGTCTGTCAGCAGTGGATCTTCAATTCCATCCTTTCAAAGAATTCCTCCTAGTGTCCAAAGCAACATCTCTAATGAATGTGGGGATGTTTTTATGCCTCCTTCATGGTTTCAGCAACACCAGAAAACCCACAGCAGAGAAAAACCTTACAAATGTAATGAATGTGGGAAGTCGTTTAGCCAAAGGTCAGTCTTTACTAATCATCAGAGAATTAATTGTGTGCAGAGACCTTACAAAGGTAATGAAAGTGTCAAAACCATTTACTGTGGCTCAAGCGTCACTAAACATCACACAATCCATACCGGAGAGAAACCATGTAAATGTAATGCATGTGGCAAGGTATTTAGTCTACAGTTAGGCCTCAGAACACATCAGAGATTTCATACTGGAAAGAAACTGTACAAATGTAATGAATGTGGTAAGGAATTTATGAGATGCTCATACCTGTGCAATCATAGGAGTATTCATAGTGGAGAGAAACCTTACCAGTGTAATGAATGTGGCAAAGCTTTTATATACAGACCACAACTTGTACAGCATCAGCAAATTCATAGTGGAGGGAAACCTTACCAATGTAATAAATGTTGTAAGACTTTTAGACGAAGGTCTTTCCTTATTAATCATCAGAAAATTCATTTTGGTCAGACATCTTATAAATGTAATAAATGTGGTAAGGCTTTTTCTGGAAGATCAAGTCTTGTGGAACATCAGAGAATTCATAGTGGAGAGAAACCTTACAAATGTAATGAGTGTGGCAAAACCTTTAACTGGAGCTCAAACCTCACTAAACATCAGCGAATCCACACTGGGGAGAAACCATATAAATGTAATGTATGTGGCAAGGTCTTTAGTCGACGTTCAGGCCTTACACGTCACCATACAACTCATAGTAGAGAGCAACTTTACCAATGTAATGAATGTGGTAAGGCATTTATCCGAAAATTAAGTCTAGTTGAACATCAGCGAATTCATAGTGGAGAGAAACCTTATGAGTGTAATGAATGTGGCAAGGCTTTTATCTACAGATCAAAACTTGTGCAACATCAACAAATTCACAGTGGAGAGAAACCTTATCAATGTAATAAATGTTGTAAGGCTTTTAGCCGAAGGTCAGTCCTTATTAATCATCAGAGAATTCATTTTGGTCAGAGACCTTACAAATGTAGTGAATGTGGCAAAACCTTTAACTGGGGCTCAAACCTCAGTAAACATCAGAAAATCCATACTGGGGAGAAACCATATAAATGTAATATATGTGGCAAAGTCTTTAGTCGACGTTCAGGACTTACTCGTCACCAGACAATTCATAGTAGAGAGAAACCTTTCCGATGTAATGAATGTGGCAAGGCTTTTACCCGAAAATCACGTCTTATAGAACATCAGAGAATTCATAGTGGAGAGAAACCTTACAAATGCAATGAATGTGATAAGACTTTTACCCGAAAATCACGTCTTTTGGAACATCAGAGAATTCATAGTGGAGAAAAACCTTACAAATGCAACAAATGTGGTAAGTCTTTTATCCAAAGATCAACCCTTGTGAAACATCAGGCAATCCATATTACAGAGAAACCTTATAAATGTAATGAATGTGGGAAAGCCTTTAAGTGGAATGCAAGTCTCACTAGACATCAGAGAATCCATGCTGTAGAAAAACCATATAAATGTGATTCGTGTGACAAGGGCTTTGGTCATCCTGAAAGCCTTAGATCTCATCAGAGATATCATACTGGAGAAAGATCTTGCAAATGTATTGAATGTGGTAAGACTTTTAGCAGTCAGTCGGCCTTTCAGAATCATAAGATAATTCATAGCGGAGAGAGTCCTTACAAATGAATTGAATGTGATAAGGCTTTTTCCGGCAGATCAAAATTTGTGGGGTATCAGTGAATTCATAGTGGAGAGAAACCTTACAAATGTAATGAATGTGGTAAGGCTTTTTTTTTTTCTGAAGATTAAACCTTAGAGAACCACAGGGAATACATTCTGTCCAGAGACTTTACAAATGTAATAAGTGTAGCAAAGATTTTAACTCTTATTCAGACTTCACCAGACTTCAGAGAATCCATACTGGAGAGAAAACACATAAACGTACGTGGCAAGGTCTATACTCAGCACAAATCTTAAAATTTGAGAATGCATACCAGAGAGCAACCATACAAGTGTAATGAACGTGGCAAGACTTGTCCCTGTTTCAAGCCTTGTTGAACATCAGGTAATTCAAACTGGAGAGAAACCATACAAACACAATGGATGTGGCCGAGATTTTGCCAGATGTTTTCCCCTTCAGGATCATAAGAAAATTCATACTGGAGAGAAACCTTAAAAATGTAGTGAATGTGGCAAGGCTATTAACATTCAGTCAATCCTTCAGGGTCATGAGAGAATTCATATTGGAGATGAAAAATTGCAAATGTAATGAGTTAAGGAAATTATTTAAATGTGGCTTAAGTCTCACATCAGAGAGTACATAATAGAAAGAAATCACTTAAGTTTAATATATGTGGTAAGATATCTAGTGACGTTAAAAGCCTTACAACTCATCACAGAATTCATAGTGCAGAGAAACCTTAGAAATGTTGTTAATGTAGGCTTTTATGCAAAGGTCAAAACTTGTGGAGCATCAATTTATAGTGGAGAGAAACCTTATGTAATGAATGTAGTATGGCTTTTAGTCACAACTCATGCCTTGTGGAGCATTGAGAATTCATAGTAGAGAGAAATCTTACAATTTAATAAGTGGCAAAGCCTTTAAGCTTAGACTGAAGGGGACAGAGGCAGGAGGAAAGGAAACAACGTTGTCTGCCTCTTGGAATTCTACAGGCAAGAAACAGGCCAAAGGTGCTACATCTGTTGTTCTCCAAGAAAGGAAAAAGACCATCCCTGGAGCAGCTTGAAGATCGGCAGAAGTGTTCGAAGGAGCACAAGAAACAGGGCCTTCTTGGTTTCAAAGGGCGGGGCCTGGATTTCAAAGAGTGAGACCACAGCCTTCTAGGTTTCAAAAAGGCAGATCTTCGCCAACATGGTTCCAGTGGGTGGGGCTGCCGTTAAGGCATGCCAGGTTATGAGGCTACTGCCAAAGCTGAGGAGTTGGAGCTATCATGCCCAAGGTGCAGAAGAATGGGGCCTGCAGGGGCAATGGGGTTGCCATTCAGATGGATTAGGAGAATGGAGCCACCCAAAGCTGATGGAGCAGAGTTGCTGTCCCAGTGAGCATGGAACACAGAGCTGAAGCCCAGGGCCAAGAGGCTTCCGTCCAGAATCCAGAAGGTGTGGTCATTGCCCAGATGGTCCCAAAGAACAGAGGATTATTTACAAGTCTACATGCTTTCTGATCGTGTTTCCCGTGTTGTAGTCTGTTGATCCTGATCCTGAGTTGTAACCTATTACTTCCCTAATAAACCCCATAATTGTGAGTATGGTCTGTGAGTTCTGTTTGGCCATTGCGACAGATTACTGAACCCAGCAGAGAAGTAGAGAGTACTGTGGGAGGGACGGCTGGTGTCAGAATTGATAATAAGTTTGGAGAGAGGAAGTATGTCTGACCTCCACCTCATAGGAATCTGCCTTGGGCTGATGCTTATGGTAATTCTCTCTCCTCCCCCTCAAGAAGTTAGAGGAGGTCTGACTCTACGACACCATTTTTTACAGTGGGGATCGTTCATATCCATATTCCCTTAAAACATCAAGTCAATTCCAACTCACAGCAACCCTGTAGGACAGAGTAGCACTGCCCCGTAGGGTTTCCAAGAAGCAACTGGTGGATTTGAACTGTCAGCCTTCTTGGTCAGCAGCCAAGCTCTTAAATCACGATGCCACCAGGGCTCCTATTCCCTAAAATGCCCCTGAATTTTAGCATATATTGTTCCCATCAAGTCAGTTCTGACTCATGGTGATCACATGTATGCAGAGTAGAGCTTCTCCATAGGGTTTTGAAGACTGTGGCCTTCCAGAAGCAAACTGCCAGGCCTGTCTATGTGGTTTCAAACTGACAACCTTTTGGCTAGTAGTGAAGTGCTTAACTGTGCCACCCAGGGACTCCTTTAAAATACGTTATGGTGACATTTTGAATGAGAGCATGAGGAGGGGTGGAGAATCGATGTAAAACAATGACTAAATCGTTATGATAAGTGTATTTACAGCCACCTTCAACAGAGTGTCATTGTGAGTTATAGGAACGGATTATTCTACCAAGAGACTATGAAACAGAGCTGGCCAGGACTTTGAGGGTCATTTTCATTAGAGCAGATAAGTTACTAAGGACAGTTTATGTGGTAGAAATACTGGAATGCTATTGATGGTCACCCCATTTGAATTGCAGTAGCTGTTCTGTATCAAACCTGAGTGAAAAACTAGCCTTGTTTTGGGAAACAAATGAAAGCAGTTATTGGGAAAGTATCGTAGATTGAATTTTGTCCTCCCAAAATGTATGTCAACTTGTCTAGTATTATGTGGTTCTCCACCATTTCGTGATCTGATGTGATTATTCTATGTGTTGTAAATTCTAACCTCTGTGATGTTAATGAGGCAGGATTAGTGGCAGTTAATGAGACAGCAATCAATCTACAGGATTAGGTTCTATCTTGAGTCAATCTCTCTTGAGATACAAAAGAATCAAGCAGAGAGGAGGGGGCCCTCATGCCTCAGAGAAAGTGCCAGGAGCAGAGCACATGCTTTGAATCTGGGGTTCCTTCACTGAGAAGCTCCTAGTCCAGAGGCAGACTGATGGCAAGGACCTTCCCCCAGAACTGACAGAGAAAGCATTCCCCAGGAGTTGGTGCCCTGAATTCAGAATTTTAGCCTCCTAGACTGTGAGAGAATAAATTTCTATTTGTTAAAGCCATCCATTTGTGGTATTTCTATTATAGCAGCACTAGATAACTAAGACAGAAATTTGTACCAGGAGTGGGTGCTTCTCTAACAGCTAAAATGTAGAAACAGTTTTGAAACCGTGAATGTGTAGAGGCTGGAAGAAGTTTTAAGGTGCCTTGAAGAGATTGTTGGTGGAATTATGGACATCAAAGACAATTCTGGTAAGGGCTCAAAAGGAAGTGAGGAGAGCGGTAACACCAGAGATGGTGCAGACTGCAAGAAGCAGCAGCAGAGAAACAGCAACAGCAGAATCAGGAGACCAGTGCAAGATGGTGCACGAGCCGACCCAAAGAGATAGCTGAGTGCCTTTGCCCAGGAGACTTGCTGGCGGAGTGGGGTGCCTTCAGGCATTTATCAGTGGAGCTTGATTTGCTGATTCATGGAGCTAGAACCGAGTGCGTGCGGGCCAAGGTTTAGTGTGGAGTGGGGTACCTCCAGGCACTTATGTATAGGTAGGGCTAAAGAGCTTTGGAATACTTGCCCAAGCAGGGCAGATGCCAGGCCAGCGCAAGAGACCCAAGGGGCCGAGAGACCAAGGAACCAGCAAGCAGTGCTGCCCCAGTCTCACAGGATAGCACCGTGAACTCTGGCGTCTGAAAGGATGGATCCATGGCCTCGGGGGTTTCAGAAGGTGGGTCCACAGCCTCATAGGTTTCAAAGATTCAGGTTTTCATCAACTCAATTCCAGAGTATGGGGCTGCTTTTCATGAGTGCCAGTGGGATGGGGCCAGAACCACTGCCTGAAGCTGAGGGGGCGTTGTTGCCATGCCCAAGGGGCAGAAGAATGGGGCATGCTGGGACAGAGGAGATAGGGTCGCCACTTAGATGGACTAGGAGAATGAGGCTGCCCAACAGAGTTGCTGTTCCAGTGGGCCTGGAAGGCAGATCTGAAGCCCAGAGCTGAGGAAGCTCCACTCAGAATCTGGAGAGTTTGGCCAACACCCAGAGTCTGGTGGGCAGGGCCATTTCCTAAATGGTCTCAGGGAACAGAGGATTATTTTCAAGCCTTTAGAGCTAATGTAAGGTGTTCTGCTGACTTGCTTGGTGCCTGTTGTCCTTTCTTTCCTTCCAGTTTCTTCCATTTGTAATGGAAATGTCTAGCTTGTGCCTGTTCCACCGTTGTACTATGGAAGCAGATAACTTGTGTTCTAGATGTCACCGATGAATCGGAATTTTGCAGAAGATGAGAATTTGGACTTGGATTTGATTTAAGACTTTGGGATGGTATGATGGGGTGAATGTGTTTTACATATGGCAAGTATATGAATTTGGGGGGGCCAAAGGGTGAAATATCATGGAGTGAATTGAATCCCCTTGAAATGGTCAACCTGGCCAGGCCATAATTCTGAACGTTTTGGTGTTGTCCACCGTTTTGGGATATGATGTGATTATCCTATGTGTTGTAAATCCTATTGAGGAGGATCTGAGGCAGCTATGTTAATGAGCCAGAACTCAAACTACTGGATTAGGTTGTATCTCGAGTCAATATCTTGAAATATAAAAAAACGAGCAAAGAGGAGAGGAACCTCATACCATGAAGAAAGAAGCACTGGGAGCGGAGCCTGTCTTTTGGACCTGGGGTCCCTGTGCTGAGAAGCTCCTAGACCACCAGGTAAAGATTGATGAAAAGGAACTTCCTCCAGAACTAACAGAGAGAGAAAGCATTCTCTAGGAGCTGGTGCTCTGAATTCAGACTTCTAGCCTCCTAGACTGTGAGAGAATACACTTCTGTTTCTTCAAGCCGTCCACTTGTGGTATTTCTGTTATAGGAGCACTAGATAACGAAGACAGGTTTAATAAAAAAAACCAAAATACAATGTATATGTGTTCACATTTAACCACTAGCATTGCATTTTGTTTCTGTTTATTCAGAATGTATCATAGGTGTTAAGATTTCTAAGTGTTGCAAATGCTTTGCACTCGGCTACTAACCAAAAGATTGGTGGTTGTCTTAGTTATCTAGTGCTGTTGTTTTACCAATAGTGTCTTCAAGGCAACCTAGGCTTTTACTGTTAGGCATCTTAAAAATCTTGCAGCCTCCACCCATTACCCAATTCTAAAACCACTCCCACATTGTAGGTATTTGTTAGATCAGCACCCTTACTTCTCGGTACCAAATTCTTAGTTATCTAGTGCTTCTGTAACAGATATACCACAAGTGGGTGACTTTAACCAACAGAAATTGATATTCTAGCAACTTAGGAGGCTAGAAGTCTGATATCAGGGTGCCAGCACTAGAGGAAGCCTTTCTTTGTCGGCTCTGGGGGAAGGTCCTTTTCTGTTCAGCTTGCTTCATGGTTCCTTGGAGATGTCCGTGTGGCTTAGCATCTGTCTTTCCACATTTCCATTTACTCACCACTTGCTTGTTTAATCTCCTTTATATCTCAAAACAGATTGAAGATACACCATACATTAATACAGTCTTGTGGTTCTGGCCACTCGTACTGCTGCCACTGTTTTACTACCCCTTGTCTCTGCTGTACTTGTTGCAGTTTCTCTGCTGATAGGCCCCCTTCTGGGCCTCCTGCTGTCTTCAGTATTACAGCTCTCTTCTTGGTCTATGATATTCTCAGCACAGGACTTGCTCTCTCTAGACTCTTGTTGACAATAGTGAAGTCCCCTTCAACCTATGTGGAGTTGGCCGCTTATAGAAGCAAACTCCTTGTCAATTTAAAGGTGTGACCCTCCCAACAGAACCACAAACTGACCAGTCCCCTCGAGGACTACAAATCAAACAATCCTATTGGGTAGATTTTCACAGCACTATTTCAATAAAATAGATGATGGAAAAGCTCAGTATCAATCAGAACAAGGCCAGGGGCTGACTGTGGAACAGACAGTTGCTCATATGCAATTGCTCATATGCAAGTTCAGGTTGAAGCAGAAGAAAATTAGAACAAGTCCACAAGAGCCAAAGTATGACCTTGAATATATCCCACCAGAGTTTAGAGATCATCTCAAGAATAAATTTGATAGGTTGAACACTTTAGTGACTGAAGATCAGATGAGTTGTGGAATGACATCAAGGACATCATACATGAAGAAAGCAAGGGATCATTAAAAAGACAGGAAAGAAAGAGACCAAAATGGACGTCAGTAAAAACTGAAACTTGTCCTTGAACATTGAGTAGCTAAAGCAAGTGGAAGAAACGATGAAATAAAAGAGCTGAACAGAAGATTTTAAAGGGCAGCTCCAGAAGACAAAGTAAAGTATAATGACACTTGCAAAGATACGGAGTTAGAAAACCAAAAGGGAAGAACATGCTCAGCATTTCTCAAGCTGAAAGAACTGAAGAAAAAATTCAAGCCTCAAGTTGCAATATTGAAGAATTCTATGGGGAAAATATTAAATGTTGCAGGAAGCATCAAAAGAAGATGGAAGGAATACACAGAGTCACTATACCAAAAAGAATTGGTGAGCATTCAACCATTTCAGGAGGTAGTGTATGATCAAGAACCGATGGTACTGAAGGAAGAGGTTGAAGCTGCACTGAAGGCATTGGTGAAAAACAAGGTTCCAGGAATTGACAAAATACCA